CTACATCGCAATTGCCCTTCCGATTCCTCGAGCATCAAGAATTCCACGACCTCATTTCCTACGCACGCCTAGCCCCCACACCACCAAACTTCCTATCGAGAAAGGTCATTCGCGAGCGCCTCCGGAGTTTCGTTATAGAGTATCAACAAAATACACTACATTGGCTCACATCTAGTGCAAAATTATCACTTGCGCTGGACTGTTGGACTTCACCATTCCAGGACGCATTCATGGCTATAACGGGATATTTTATAGACCAGGAACGGGAGTATCGCGAGGTCCTCCTTGGATTTGAGTCCCTTTCTGGAACTCATCCTGGCGTAAACCTCGGTGAGTTTGTTCTCCAGATGCTACAAAAGCACCAAATCACCGATCGTGTACTAGCGGTAACAACTGATAATGCGTCTAATAATAAGACGCTTATCACAGCGGTGAATGATTCAATCCGCGAACTACAGCTTAAGATAGATTCCACGATCATTCAAGTGCCCTGTCTTGCGCATGTCATTCAATTGAGTCTGGTTGATTTACTTGGTAAAATTAAGGCTTCACCAAAGAATGACATTGCCGAATCAGCATGGTCTAATGATCGTGTACGTTTACTTCGTGCGCGCCAGCAGAACCATGAGATCGCCGATACTCTAAATAAGGTGGGTTTCTGTTCAAGTGTCGTATACAAATCATTAACCATCCTTATAGGTTCGAGGTCTTGCTGTTTATATCAACGGAAGCCCGCAAAGTAAGGAAGCCTTCCTGAATCTCCAGTCCAATGAGCAAAAGCTAGTCCCAATCCAAGATGTTCGTGACGCGATGGAATTCGACGTTTCTTATGCTCCGACGGGCGAAAAGGCTTCATATTGCATTCGACGAGTACTGTTCACACCATGATCAACCCCATTTTGCATTGGGTGCAGAGGGATGGCGACAGATCGACTATCTGATTCACACCCTTCAGCCCTTCTTTACGTTTACTACGCTAGTTTGTCAAACTAAAGGAGTATTCATCTCGTCTTTAGTATTTACAACAAGCTCTTTGATCATCTTGAAAGGTCTATGCGTCAGCTTTGTCGAAAGAAGGTTTCCTGGAAGCGACTAATGCTTTCCTCCCTCGAGGCTGCGAAAGAAAAACTCTCGAAATACTACGGTATGACAGATGATGTCGAAGGTGATCTCTATGCAATCGAAAAGATCTTGGAACCGTCAAACAAGATGGAGTTCTTTTCAACAAGTGATTGGACCCCAGATCACACAGGAAAGGACTATAAAAACGAATACCGTGAAAGCCTCCAGTCTCTTTTTAAAAGATATAGCCTAAGTATACCATCAGATATAACACAATCTGAAAGTAGGCTATCGACAACCAAATCAGCGCTTGAGAGGGCTTGTATGCGCGACCTCTCGAGGCCATCAACCGGTCCGCAGCACGATGAGTTTACTAGATATCTTCAGAGTGGTCAGTAAGTAAATTACGAAATGAACCATAAAGCTAATCTTTTTAGATGCTATCGACGAATCCGCTCGGATATTCTGGAGAAATCATGAGAAGGAGTTCGCTATCCTTGCAAGCATTACCCGTGATGTGATGTCTATTCCAGCGACTGGTGCCGGAGTTGAGCATCTTTTTAACTCTGCCCGGGACGTTTGCCACTACCGCCGGGGGTCATTGAACCCAAAAACTGTTCGCGATATCATGTTATATTTATGCACAACAAGGTTCGACATTAAGGAGGAGCAAAGGCTGATCCTCCAGGAGTATCTTGAGCAAGAGATCGCAGCCACATCTGAAGAACTCGATATCGAGACACATTGCTTCGAGGCCATTAGTGATACTGAGGAAGATATCGAGTCACACCTTGATACGCCAGCCGTACCACTACTCTTAGAGGTCGCCGCTAGAAAGCGGCCGGCGGTCACTTTTGATGATGAGGAAGTCTCTAATGCCGATGAATTTGCGGATCGAGAAGAGAACTCGGTATCACCCTTGCCTCATACGCAGTTTCGCGATTCAGGTAGGATGCGGAAAAGGTCGAGACTTCTGGATGGGTATATAGTTCAATAGTTTGAGACTTGAGAACTCTGTATTTGAATCTAATTTTTATGTACATAAGTATCATTTAGAGTTCTGTTCGAAAATAATTCTCTGATATAAACCAAATGCTTCTGCAAGGCCATACAGTAACGAATTTTTAATTTATAATTACAATAGAAAACGGCATGTTTCTACATATTTTATGCAATTGACCCCGAGTAACGCTTTTAACCTGTTTGTCATGTTTGTCGCACCTCAGGTTTACCCGCGGGTTAGTGCCAGGTCTACTTGTACTGATATCAGGAAGCTTTGGGCAGCTATATGCCGAACTGTGATAACACTATACCCTCTTGTCGATATTATAATTGCGAAACACTCCGCGATAGTGCATATACACCACCAACTCGACACTCCAATGCCAATATTGATCTTAAGCCCAATTTGATAATCTTCAGCACCACGAAGAGGTGTCTGCCTTCCACTGAAGGACCCTTGCTACAAAAGTCGCATAAATCCAGCTCGGACGGGATGAGGTTGCGAACAGCCCAGGTTGCTTGGATTTTACTATGCTAGGACGCAAAGTGTAGAACACCGAACGAACGAGGAGGCCAAGCCTGATTCCACCCCTCGAGAGTGGGTGGACCGGGCCCTTTTATCTTCCCGATATACGGTGACTCAGAACACCATGTGTGCAGTACTAAGCCCCAGCCCCGGCATTTTGTATATAGATCCCTGGGTAGCGTTGTGTTGGTTGGTCAACCTTTGGTCCTAAGCTCGGCCTCACCTGCCCACCGCATCGCGATGACCGTATGCTACTCTATTGTTGCGTGGCAACGGCTCCCAGTGTCCAAACACCCGCGTAGATTCCGTAGAAAAGTTGAACCGGGTGTTTTTTTTTTTTTCGATTCTTTACCTAAACATCCCACCTGGTTCCTACATTGGAGTCTCAGTAGGCTAAATCATTCATTCGGACTACTTGGGAAACGAAACCAAGTTTACCAACCGGTCAAAGGTACGGTAGTGCGACACACAACTCAGCCCTCTGTTCCCTAGCTCCATTTGGAAACTTGATCGGCGGGGGTGGAACTCAACGTTGTATTTGGCTTTCACTTACCGAAACTTCAACCAGCGGCGTGAATCAGCTTACCAGCATGACCTTCCTCCTTCGAATGTAACCGCGCGGTGCACCATGCTTCCAATGAGATTGGCATAAGCATGGCAGTCGGATCGAGTGATGGAATAGAAATCGGAGCATCAGTGGGCTGTAGGGCAGCACATCGGTCTCAGGGCAGGCCAGTGCACTGGACAATTATCATCGTTGCTGGGCGGTTTTTCATCTAAGGCCATCTTAAAATGATATCGTCTAAATATCCTTCTGGCCCAAAAAACGATCCGAGAACAATTCGCTCATCTTAGATTGCTGAAATGGTATTAGCCCAAAATAAATGTGATTCGGACACCGGCCGAGGCTATCCTGAAAAGGGCTCCTTTGATAGAAATACAATGAGGACCGCAATGAAGACCAACAACACCTCCATTATGTAGAGCACGCCGAATGTTATATTCAACTATTTCATCGTACTTGATTCAAAATAATCTCACTCTAGCAGCAGGGAAGACAGCTCATCTAGTTGCTTGGAATGCACCATGAATGCTAACATTGTTGTCGTCATTAGAGCGGGGTTCTCTGTAACCGACATGCAAAAAATCCACCGTTCCAAGGACAAGATAATCGTAAGATTGGATGATGTTAGGTAATCTCATAAAGGAAAAGGAGAGTTACAGTATCATGCCTCGTTGACCATTGTGCTGCACGTGCTATCCTGCTAAATGACATAAAACTGTTTTCAATTTCAATACAAAAATTTGGTTTCATAGTTCGTAAGAGACATGCCCGTCTTTTCCAACCTTTTTTGTAGGTTCAGGTTCATCTTTTATGTCTGTTCGTTGAAGGAGAGGACTCTCCTCAAGACTCGCACTTTTCCTATACGTATCTTGGTTGGCACCTTCGTCAACGTTACTAGAGGCTGGGATAGAGGCATAAGGGTGCGAAATGTTTTCCCGATGAGGATGGTCTCTGCCCGTTTGAATGGCGCCGTTGTCAGTCTCGCGACCAGCGGCCGAAAGCGCAAAATCGCCAGAGTCAAAGTATGTCCGTTCCTGCTGGTTGTTAGTTAGCGTGTACCTTAGGAAACTGTATTCCAAGTACCTTAGGCCTTTGAGCCAGTAAGTCTCCAGGCGGCAGCTTTCCGTACTTTTTCAGGAGACGGTTCTCGGATTTAGACAATGGCTGAGAGGATTATTAGCATCGTTGGGTTCAGGAAGAGTGGGACCTACTTCGGGATCTGGTCCTCTTGACTGCATTATGAGAGACTAATCCTGTGATTTCGTATGTTTTTCCAAGCCTGCGATGGAACTGCATCTGAACAAGGATACCCAAGATTCTCGAGCCAAATACTCATGACGTTGTTTGTCCGGTCGCGTGATCGAGTAGCGATTAGTCAGCTGGACCCTGCGAGCCAACTGGAAAGCTATACACCGCAAGACGTCGTTACGAGACAGGAATATTGTTATTCCGGAGCTATTCAGAATAAAATGAAGATATCCTGGCATTAAGGCTCTAGAACTAATCAAAGAGTGGTGTAGCGGTGATGTAGTGGTAAGCTCCCCAGGCAGCCTGCAAGACGACGATCTTTGGTCAGAGTATTCATCTTTTGGAAATTAGGATTACAGTAATTAGTGACGACATTTTGAAGGTACATTTGTCGAAACCAAATGGGTCATTCTTGACCAAATCTGGTATAGCTGTACTGTTATGGGGCTCTGGGAAACAGTGCGAGAGACTGGAGGTAAAGCTGAGCTCGAACATGGAATCTCCCAAGCCCACAGCATTTCCACGAACCTAGGTTGACACTATAACTGAGATTCTCTCGAATATATTTTGATGCGTGGAATATGTAGCTATTATTTGTCATCTCCAAGCAGCAAATAACGAAAGGTCAAGCCTTCTTTTTGCGTTCTCTGGTTGTTTTTGGAGACCCATCAGCTGGATCACTGCTAACTGGGCTCCTCGCACACCATAATCCAAGCTCACGTTCGTCTCATCTGGTATTTCCACAAATTGGCCAATCACGGCGAGATTAGCCATCCCCTCTGGCATCACGTTCGGACGATCTCCACAAGCTCGGGGTAGTAGTGAGGCTGTCCTCCGTGGCATCACGCATGGGACTGTGATGGAATTCTTGAGGATTGATTCCGAAGGGAAACCGAGATGCCATAATAGCTCAATCATTATTTCCTCCCCAGAACAGACCAGCATCGGCTTTTTCACAAAGCTTCCCTGGCGTTCTGGACAAAGACCATATCCCCAGAAAGTTTGCACATTGTCGGGTTGAACAGAAAAGAATGGTTGTCGTGGGATACACACACTGATCTTCCAACCGCTCTCTTTCAAGAATACTAAGCTCCCAGTGCCGGGCTTGTCACACGTCAGTTTGACGAAGCGGTCGAAAAACTCAGCATCCTTGAGTGTGACAGTAAAGGTCTCTAACCTAGAATCTGTGACATGAGTGCAGAAATTATATGGATCGCCCAATCTCGGACTCCGTGTTCGTAAATTTAGCCACAATGACCAATTTTCATCTAACCTGTCGTCGTCTAACATTGTCGTTAGAACTGGCGGAGTTTTGTTGGTACCACTCGACGAGCCTGAAGTGACAGACCCAAGGGAAACTATAACGACATCATCGGGACAGAGGTTTATTGTTTGCTGGGAGCTATCATGTAATACATGAATAGCTGTAACAGTTTCTCTGCCACTGTCCATTGTTGTTATAATGTCTGTGACCTTGGTGCCAAGTCTGAAATCAACCCCTTCTTGTTGAAGATACTGGATGATCGGCATTATAATTGATTCGAATTGGTTCAAACGAGTGCAATCTAGGGGATTTTTAGTGTTAAGGCCCCGAAATTCGGGCAAGTAGCTGCGAAGGCACCGCCGGAATTCGGTAGCACTGTGCCACGGTTGAAAGGTAAATCTGGGATATGTTCTTAGCATGTGTGCTATTTCCTTCCTCTTGGGAGTCGGTCAGCCTACATAGTGGAAAAAACAATCCAGAATCTAGTATTGAAGAAAGGCTTGTTGAAAATCTGGTCAATTCGTTTTCTGCCCAAGGTGGCTTCGGTTTTCAATAGGAGCATCGTCAGCTTCATTCGATCTTTGAGATGTAAGTCAAGTGTATTGGCTTCAATCCTCTTCGGTCCATAATCTTCTTTGATCAAGATATGTGTGAGAGGGACATCTTGGCAGCCTTCATCGTCATAATACTTTTCAATATCCATCAATACTGTCCTTCCCAAACCGTTCGCCGAAGGCACGAAGGAAAGCAGACTTTTCATGCAGCTGCTGTTGAAGCTTGGCAGGCATCCAGGTCGATGATCGTATCCGTCCAAAGGATTGCCAGTACTGGTGATGCCATCTCCAGGGGTGTCTCGAGACTCGAGAATATGGATTTTTGAGGCGGGTACATTGGCATTCGACATCAGGTAAACCGCTGAAGCCAGTGATGCAATACTGCTCCCTAGTATCCAAGCATCGACCTTTTCAGATGTCCGATAGGCATGGGCTAGGGCAGGATGCTGTTGGCGAATCATCGCACACCAGCTTCGTCTTTCGAATGAAAGTAAACAGATAACAGACAGTGTTATGGATACTGATTTCTTTCTTGGGGTAGAGTCTCGGGTTAAAGAAATGTCTTATTTCCCGGGTTTTTTTTTTTTCTTGGAGGAGGGGGATGTTTTCTTCATTTATTGACTGGAGGGAATGTGAAGAGGCAATATGAAGAGGGTAATGACGTTATACACATGTGCCCCGCATGACAAGATAAACGCGAGGGCACGTGAGCGTACAGTAGATCATGTAAGGTTCCGCCATGATTATGTAACTAATATTCAGGGTCTAGGCCTGGAAGACCTGGATTTTCGACCATGCCGTATCTAGATCAGCCATCATCTACTACCTTTTGAGCCAATTATTCCCCAGCCAGTCGTGCTCGCGCCACTCGCACCATCCGTGCCTAATTATTTCGAGTCATTAACTGTTGAGTCAGCTGTTGCTTCTATCGCTGAATCGAATATCCTGCATCCCTAACCCGAATATTTAAAGGTAACTTCTGCACAGGAACGAACCCTGCAGCAAAACATTTGCTATCATGAAGCAGACACTGCAGATGTGCACATGTATAACTCACATGACTCCCGACGCATTCTATCCATCTTGCCAAGATTTGTCAAATAATAATCAACTTCCATCCATCGTTTCTTTAATGTGTCGGCGGGCGTGGCTGATTTTATTTACCAGTATAGTGATTCTATGCTTACCGAAATTTGTGATGATCGGTGGCTTGCGAGACCTCACATTAGTGTTGCTCTTCAAACGCAATAGATAGGTGATGCAGCCCAAAGCTGCACGACAAGGCCACGTATTATGTCTCATGGGAAAGGTGAATTTCACTCTAAATTGACACTCAAGCACGAATAAGTGGCCGTTGCCAAATTGAGCTTTTCATTGAGATGATTACGACTACTCGCCTGTAATGACGCAATCGAATACCAACTGAATAATACTACCTGCTGCACCGGCCATCCGCAATACTCTTGTAATTTATTGTGCAACTTCTTACGGTTTCCAAATTGGTACACGGGATCTGGAGAAGGGTCACCCCGTGGCGTCGGTTGGGACAACATGGCTCTTGCTTTCAATGAAAATGTCTCCGCACAAGACTTCGCCGACATCCTGCCGATCGGCCTCGCCATTCTCCATGACCAAGACGAACTGGTCTCTGTGAAACACCAGCTCCTGGGGCCAATCAAATGCTTCAGCGCCAAATTTTCCGAGTGCTGGTTGTCGTCGATTCTTTCAGATGGCTATGAACGGGTGGCCACTGGGTATTGCGAAGCCGCAAGATCCAAACAGCCGCTGCGAATTCAATAACGCACTTGCAGCTAGGATTCCATGTGGCATGTAGCCACATTGAGCCCACTAGACAATGCAAGTGGGAAGCGCTTCAATCTAGACCATGCTGGATTCATCTGCACGATTGTAGATATAACGCCAGAAAAGAACGCCGAGCTGTCACAGATGCAGCTCGCGCAAGAAGCGCGGGTACGCAAGCAGCATCAAGAGCGCTTTATCGACATGATCAGCCACGGAAATCCTCTTTCCTCATCCTGCATTGCACTGAAGACATTCTTGAGGCGATGCGTAATATAGAAAAAAAGAGTTTCGAGTATCGGACATCACCGACGCAGCAGACACAGATGTGATATGGATGGAAGTAAAGTCCGATTTGACGATATCCACATTAGGTAGGGCGTGGGCAGAGTTGAAGAACTGTCTATCCTAGGCAGTGAGGTAGATTGGTTAATGACGGATAAACAGGCCTATGGTGTAATTCGATTACCGGAATATCTACAGTGCCGGAAATTGCGCCAAGAACAGATTGTAGATTAGTCATTCGTCAGGCCCATGGACGCCTCATAATTTGTCGGAATTAAGTATACTGGTACGTGCTAGTATTGAGGTGTCCCATTGAGATCCAATGATGAGTATTCTAGCTGGATCTCGCTGTGGAAGCATTATCAGATTTCGGGTGTCGTTATTAGCGGGTTACGACGCTGGTTTGCTAAGCATACTCCGTTTACCATATGGAGACGAAGAGTGAATGGGTGCTTGATGAATAACCCTGTCCTTAGTGGTAGAACAGTACCCCTCAGTTCGACATAACTTATTAAAATCCAGACTCGCTGTGCTTCAATTGATGCGTTTATAATCTGAGGTGGGTTGGATCCGTTACTTTTTTATTTGCGTGTATTTGATCTGGACTGTCTTGGCATGTCGCGAAGAAGAAAAGGCGTTCGGCTACGGTAGGTCTTAAAAAACATGCCTTTTCTTCTAGAGCCCACTTCAACAGGCTCCCTCAACAACCACCGACTTCGACGCTTTCCTTATTGATATTTTTCTTATAAACGTCCTCATCCAAACGTCCAAAATGCCTACTTAAACATTCTCACTTAAACGTGCTTTGTTTAAATGTTCTTGTTCAAGCGCTTGTCTCGTTCTCAAAACATCCCCCCGTACTACAACAATCAAATTCAAGCTCAAAGAATTCAATTTCCAGCGTCTGAATCTGATGGGCTTAGCTCTCGAAAGCTAGTTTTATGGGAGCTTCAACCTGAACGGCTCAATTGCTAGAACTGGTTCGTAGGCAGCGCCACAGATCAGTGCCTATGTAGCATCATATTATCATGGCATTACCTCCCATGCCTTTCGTTCACTAACTAGGTGAAAAGATTACTGGAAAGCATTTTCAGAATGGTGTTAGACCAAATAATTCAACCAGATCTGAGCTTCCTCCAAGAAACCAGAGTACTAGTCTTCGGTGCCCCTAATAGGTGTCTGTCTTTCACTGAAAGACCCTTGCTACAAAGGCATAGAGGTCATAGTGTCCAGCTATTGACTATAATTGACTTCACTAGCATCTAGCATCTAGCTCTAGCTTCTTAGATGAGCAAATGTTTACTATACGTTGGGGGAATATATAAATCACGTCATATGCATGATATCACATGTCAGTCAGTGGCCGTCCTTCTATTTTCTAGATTCAACGAAATCGGGTTTGGTGACTAAAGGATATTTTTGTTGGGCAGGCTATACCTAATCAATATATATATATATATATATATAAAGTTTACTTATCCTACTCTATATCACTCAATTTTTTATTTACTGTCAAGTTATCCCCCATACATCTTGCATAGGTACATTATAAAAAATCGCTATGATCGGGACATCAACTTTTGATTACTTTTTCATTCGGATTTGCATCCTATTTCTTCACAACATTGCATCGATCAGCATTTTATATGGCATCCAGTTACTTGTCGGTCAATTATTTCACCTGTCGGATAATTCCGAACGCATACCCTACCCCATCCATATCTGGCTCACTGCAGAGGCAGCATTTTTCACCACTGTCATCATACCGCTCAAATATTGTCACCGCCATTCTCCTATTTACCACAGATCTTTATCCGCGGAGAGCAGAAAGAGATTGTTTAGGAGCTGTATTGCGAATGTGCCGAATCTAGAGAATTATCTCAGCCGGTGGCTTATGGTCTCAGGAGTTGAACACATTATGCGTGGTAACGTGAAAGACTTTATTAGATGGTCATTTTTCGGACCTCAATATACCCAAGAGAAAGACCAGCAGAATGAGAGGGAAATCGATGTCTATACAACAGAAGTTGAGAAGCTGATTGGACGAAAATTGCCACCGGGAAGGATGGATGTGAAAGGCCTAGGTCGGCTTCTCAATGAAGCATGCGGTTCACATCGAAGTCTGCTATGGTACAAGGTCAGTCGATACCTCTTCTCTCTGTGACAGAGCCATATCAAGCTAATATTCCAATCCACCCAGTGCGTCTCTGTTGTTGACACAATAACTCACTGCAAGATGTTATACAATGGATTTCACTTTCATCGCAGTTCGCTCTCGCGATTCTTTAACGTTTTCCCGTTTCGCCCTCTCACGATACTCACGACCTACCGATCACCGGCGCGTCATCTCACATACTGGCATCGACAACATACTTCCAAGAAGCGACTACCTATACTATTCGTACATGGTATCGGAATTGGTATGTACCCTTATATGAGCTTCCTCCGAGACCTCAAGTGTGAATTAGAAACCGGGGCGTCCGAAGATGGTCGGGTTGGCATCATCGCACTTGAGATCATGCCGGTAAGCTCTCGGATAACTTACCCAGCTCTGGAAAAAGACGTGATGATCATGGAAATCATGGAGATCATGCGGTACCATGGATGGGCCAGATTCGTTCTTGTATCTCATTCTTATGGTTCCATAATCGCTGCACACCTTCTCAAATCTGATCGTTTTGCTCCACTCATCGGGCCTACGGTCTTTATCGATCCAGTCTCATTCCTCCTCCACCTGCCTGACGTGGCATACAACTTCATAGCCCGCCAGCCAGCCCGGGCCAATGAATACCAACTATGGTACTTCGGAAGTAAGGACATAGGAGTTGCACATACATTGGCCAGGAGGTTCTCCTGGATCGACAACATCATTTGGAAGGAAGACCTTGGGATAAAGGCCGAAAAGGACCAACAGGAGGGTAGAAATGTCACAGTTGTTTTAAGTGGAAAGGATTTGATTGTGGACACCCAAACGGTGGGAGAGTACTTGGTGGGTTCATCAAAATTCGGGGCAGTTGACAAAGAAGAAGCACAGCCATGGAAAAACATGCCTTGGTTTGGATACGGGCTTGAGCTGCTGTGGTTTGAGCAGTTGGATCATGCGCAGGTTTTTGATCTTGAGAAAACGAGGCGGCCAGTCATTAGGGCGATTTCTGTGTATTCAAACACAGGCTGAGAATGCTTTGTTCGGAATATAATTGTACATTGTACCGCTTCCAAGTCTATATTTCAGCCATTCACCTTTCACCCTCCCCGTCAAATCTCCAAGGGAGCAGCACGCGCAACCGATGATAATTCCCCTCGACCAATGAGTACCACCATACTTGAAATCCGCAACAGTGAACAAGGCCATCACGGAGGATATTTGAGTGGTATTCATTGAGTGATATTTAATGGAAATCCGGGTGTGATACGAAAGACCAAGACAGCGTTTTGAGATATTAAACCCCCGGCGGATAATTCAAATTGTTACCAGCCTATTTTGACGGTAAGTCATTGCTTGGTTATGGCCCCTGGCATCTTTCGATTTGTGTTGTTGCTCTGAGGTATCTGTTTTGTATTCCAGCGGAAAGAAAGCTATATACATACGGTGAAGGCATCTAGTTGCACCGTGTATTTATTCCACGCAGAAAGAGGTGGAAGTTTTCTCATCTGCACCAGGCTCATACAACAACAATCTGACCAAGTAGCTCGCATATTGGTGGTCTCTTTTCCCACTCAATTCCGAAGCCTTGAGCAAGGAAGAGATGGAGAGTGTTGGGAAACTTTACCGGATTGAAACCGCTGCTAAGATAGCTTTTACATTGAACAGACGCTACTACTGTAGGTCAGTGCTTCTTCTGGCTATGGGTGAGAATGGCCTCGAAGGATCTTTCGATCCGAAGTCTTCACCTGCCGCCAGCTCCCCAACAATGCAATATGATATAAAACCCTGTTATGCTTTCCCACTGAAATTCTTGATATAGTTACATAGCTTCTAGGACATGCTTATGAGATTTGTTCTCTCTCACAGACATTTCAACGACTATAGCATCGCCAATGGAGCGAAAGAAGAATACGTCGGTAAAAGCTTTCCTCCTCCGTATCGTTGTCGGCGAGGTGACTGAGGATTACGTGAATTACAGAATCTTGGGGTAGAATGTAATTAGGCTGGAAAATATTTTTGCAAATTTCCCTCAAAAGAATAGCCAGAGTCATGGCTAGGTGCATCCCTTTAGCTTCCGGGGAGTTTGAGGGTATCACGGGGACATATTGCTGACAAAATCTAGCATTCTCCTTTCGAAGCTTCTCCCAGATAGATATGTTCTTTAAGACAAACAAATGAGCGGGAAAGTCGTGAATGGGGCTAGATGTACACATACCTTCAAGACGTTTTCTACAAGGTCCTCCTTCAAGACCGTATTTATCTCGCTTACAGCAAAGTTCCAAAGATTTGAAAAGTTCGTCGCACTGGGTGAAAGATGTTAACACGCGAATATCCTCAAATACCCTCATGCAACTTACATCGAGCTTTCATCAAGCTCGAATTGCGGAACAGTGAAGCTTTCGAGGTATCGGAGTTGGCCTTGGCTCGTTTGTAATTCTTTGTTCAATGTAGCTTTCTCAGCTTTTGACTCTTCCATTTCCTGCTGCGTTGATAAAAGCGTTGTTTTGAGGCTTGATCCAGCAGTCTTCATTTTGTCAATGATCTTGTCTTTCTCTTTCAAATTCTGTTGAAGTGTGCTGATATCCTTGGCTGATTGAGAAACTTTGCCGAGCTCCAATGAGTATGATGACTTGAGACTGTCCATCTTCAACTCCTCATTTCCGGTATGAACATAATCTATTAAGGTGTCCGATGATGGCAGATAAATTAGAACACGGTCCAGAGTCATCAGAGCCCTTCAGTGCTGCCTGTGATAAAGTTACACTTAGTGGCCGGTTGATCGTGGCACTGCTTGGAATTTGAAACTCATTTCTTTCATCAGCCTCATTCTTATCATCAGACCCGTCAGCTCCTTGCATTGCTGACTGCACCGAAGAATCACGAGATACTTTTCGCAGTGCAGTATATGTTTAAGCCTTATGCTCTAGAAAGTCGGTCATATTCCGAGAGGGAGATGTTTTGACTTGTGTAAAAGCTCCTTTCTCCACCTCCTTAAGGCGATATGTGGCTTTTAGTGCCATGAATTACTGGTACCTTTCGTATCAGGGAGCTTTCGTGTATAGTTCTGTGTGGTTGCATATCATTGTCTATTTATAGCGGTGCTAGTCCCAACATGGTTAATCAAAAAAGCAACATATCAGCTCGCTAATAGACCGCTCTATGATTCTGCCCCACACCCTGCCCAATTTGGAATGACCACCCCTATGACCCATGTCACGTCTCCCTGCCTAATATTACACAAAACAGTTTCTGAGTTGAGTCTTTTCACAATGCGTGGCGAAGTACGTGCTTTCTTCTTACTGTTCAACGGTAGCCGCGTTGATTATTCAGCTTTGCCCGGGCTATTTTCTTAGGCTCGAAGCGCGAGATGCACAATCCGGCTTCGCGGTTTGGCACTTAATCTTTTGTATTATGGACCAAACTAAACCCCCCTTATATTTGACGCTGATGTGCTGACTTGTTAGATCTGTCATATTCACCTCGGCCAGGCTGGTGTCCAGCTGGGTAACGCGGCATGGGAGCTGTAAGTCTTAATGCTTTGAGACCCATACCTATTCGACAATGGCTAACCGCTTGGTGATAATCTAGTTACCTACTCGAACACGGCTTAATGCCCGATGGACATATTAATCCCGATCTTAGCGAGGATATTCGCAAAAGCAGCTCCTATGAGACCTTTTTCGCTGAGGCCGACAATGGCAAGTACGTCCCCCGTTCGATCTTTATCGACCTCGACCCTTCGGTATGTGGCTAGCAATCATTTGATTTCTTGGAGTCTATTGTGCACAACTGATATTTTGCGTCGATTCAGCCTGTTGACGAGATCCGCTCTGGTACCTACCGCAATCTGTTCCACCCAGAACAATTGATAAGCGGGAAAGAGGATGCCGCCAATAACTGCATGAGCCCCTCATATCTGAAATCCATGCGTTCTGGAAAGCTAATGCATAATAGATGCTCGTGGCCACTATACAGTCGGCAAGGGGCTCTTGGATAATGTTATTGATCGAATCCGACGTGTGGCTGGTGTGTAGTTGTCAAGCTTTCTTGATTACTAGCCTCTAATCTTTCCTTATAACAGATAACTGTTCCTCCCTTCAGGGTTTCTTGATCTTCCGCTCTATCGGCGGTGGTACTGGCTCTGGATTCGGTGCTTTGTTGCTAGAGCGCCTTGCTGCCGAGTACGGCAAGAAATCGAAGCTGGAGTTCGCAGTCTACCCGTCTCCCAGCGTGGCGACCGCCGTGGTAGAGCCATACAATGCTGTGCTATCCACCCACAGCACCATTGAAAACTCCGAATGTACATTCCTCGTCGACAACGAAGCGGTTTACGATATCTGTCAACGCAATCTAGACATCCCTCGCCCTGGCTTTGATCATCTCAATCGGCTCATCGCTCAGGTGGTCAGCTCTGTCACCGCCAGCTTACGCTTCGAAGGCGCCCTTAACGTCGACTTAAACGAGTTCCAGACCAACCTCGTCCCGTTCCCGCGTATTCATTACCCTCTTATTTCATATGCTCCGATCATGTCTAGTAACAGCAGCAGTCATGAAGGTCACAGAGTGAAAGATCTAACTGTGCAGTGTATGTGCTTGTGCGTCTTTTTTTATCAATTGTTATTCTATATTGACTATTTGGCAGGCTTTGAACCCAAAAATCAGATGGTTGTCTGCAATCCTTATGAAGGCAAATATATGGCTGTGGCTCTTTTGTACCGAGGCGATGTCGTGCCTTACGAATGCAGCCAAGCTATTGCTCATGTCAAATCCAAGGCGTCGTTCAACCTAGTTGAATGGTGTCCCACCGGGTTTAAGGTTGGAATCAATTACCAGAAGCCTGTAAGTGTGCCTGATAGCCAACTTGCAGCTGTGGACCGCTCGGTCACTATGCTTTCTAATTCTACCTCTATCGCCGAGGCCTGGGGTCGTCTCGATCACAAATTCGACCTTATGTACACCAAACGTGCTTTCGTTCATTGGTACGTGGGTGAGGGTATGGAAGAGGGCGAGTTCTGCGAAGCTCGTGAGAACCTGGCAGCTCTGGAAAGCGATTATGAGGAGATTGCCGGTGACGCTATCGCTTCCGATGGTGCATTCGAGCAAGAGTTTTAAATGGGCCTATCTTCTTTTTCAATGGCACTCCTAAGACTGTCTTGTTCAGAACTATATTTCTTATTATTCACCTTTTACAACTGGTAAACATGTTATCTGCCCCCTTCCATCCGATTGATTCGAACGGATTAATGCTAGTTCTATGCGGAAGTTGCTCGTGAATATCTGTATCAATCCCATCTCCTCCGCTGTATGAATACATAGTTAAGCTAATCCAGCCTCTGCCCAGTCTAACTTTTCTACACATATCTACAGCCAGCCATTTCGCAACGTGACTACAACAATTGTACTTTAACTGACCCATTGATGCCTAAAACATTTCAATAACTCCAGCGAGATTCGAGCTTCGCGACTCCTACAATCCAACAGCTCTTTGGCATGCCATCTCCAAAGGCAATGTGGCAGAGGCCAAGTTGCTGCTGAACAGTGGACAAGTTGCACTGGCGGCAGATCGCGATCGAGCCACACCTCTAAACTGTGCAATCATGCGAAGCAATGCTTCGATCACACAACTCCTGCTGAAGCATCTGAGAGCACATTTTTCCACGTCAACATTTTTGAACGATATAGATATCAACGGTACCGAGCTGTCATTGTATCTGGCCGCTGATTATGGGCGCTCCAAGATGATAGATCCGTTGCTCAGCTGGAGTGAATCAAAGCAACATCCAAGTTAAGGTGCGAATGGTCGATTGCGAGCTTAAGATGTCTATTCTTTCTGGCAATGTGAGTGATTTATCGCCCCCTCTGCTGCGCTATATCAGTTATTTGTGCAATTCTTGTGCTCCGAATAACAAACACCATTGCTGAACTCATCCCATTGTAAAAAGGAGCAGCCATCGCCACTGTGAAGCATACCTATTGGGAGTTCTATCGTCGGATTGGAGACAAGACCAAGGTGGCAGCACTACGACACGTGCTCCTTCGCGTCTTCGCCCTCACCGCCTTCACTCCATGAATGGCGGAGTGTCTGGCCCTCCGCATTGCGAAACATTCATCCATCACGACTATATGATTGCTCGTGCCTGTTGAGATTGTCCCGCCCTATGCCGCCCGAGAGAATGCGCGTTGCGTCACAGCCCGGCCTGTCTGGAGCAATGACCGGAGAGTGCGACGAACCAAAATACAACATGGCATAAATCGTGTGGATTGTTTTGCCAAAGAGGATTGTAAGTGATCTAGTTGGCAAGTTCATATGACCACGAAGCGTACTGATCGTCGCGTCTCAAGCGTACACAGCGTGCCTTCTGGAAACCCTATGAACAAGTAAGTCATGATAACTCGTCCAAGTGGTAAGCCTTGCTGACTCGCATCTCACAACAGGACGACCTCATGTTCTCTGCTCGAGCTCCCCCATATCGATGCGATCGCAGCTGTCTATTATTTCCCCATGACTACTGGTGGCATCGATGATGAGCCAATGTAAGGTCCAGATAGTCTCGGCCCTTCTCCCAGTCGACTCTGTGCATCAGTCATGGGCTGATGTGTATGCCCGATACAAAGCTCAAGCCACAATTGGTTATAGCACCGACTCTCGGCATTCAAACACCGCGAAATAATATCCTTTTTGTGGATCAAATTCCTGACGTCCGACGGGTGATCCTCATTATCGAGGTCACTGCATCTGCAGATCAGCGGTGCGTACTCCACGTCGAATGTCCTTGAGCATGGCTTACTTGCAGGCACTGCACTTTGATTACATTTGGCGTATCGCCGTTCGAGCTAATCCTCCGTGACGGTGGGTTTTCGCACAACTTTACTCAGAGCTATCCTTTGTGCGACCTCTCTGACTATCTATGACAGCCTTTGCTAAAATCTCTACCACTATCGGTATTCATATGATTGCTTTCGTCGGGATCGGTAACGCACATGTCTCCTGCGGCTCCAAGCTAAGAGGATCACTTCACAAAAGCTTCGGCGACTTCGCGGCCTCTCTCCAGCAACAGCGCGGCAGTTGTTGCATCAACGGTGGCCCTGTTTGTGGACTGCGCATTGAATTTCCGAATGCATGCGTGTAAGGACAAGGCCATGGGGCCGATCAATCGAGTCCAAAGAGTTGGAGCACAAGCCATTGTGGGGACATCCTCACCGTCGCGACCAGCGTAGCGGAGGCGGAAGCTCACATAGCCACCGCACGACACAGATTCTGGAGATGGGCCGTGAAGATGTGGACGGACATACGCACTCTCCCAAAAACTAATTCTCTCTACAGAAATATAGATCGGACCAGGAAGCTCAGAAGATACTATCGCTTGCTGTTGTACCAGGTAGCCGATGCGCTGAAGCATATCGACATGGAAACACTGGAAACGATTAATCCATTTACGTTAGCCCCGTGGGAAGAACGCTTACAACCTGATAAGGGTCAATCACAGGATTTCCAGACCAGAGCACATACAGATCGCGGTCAGCAGCTTGGCTCGGAACGAGCTGGTCAGATTCAGGGTGGCGATCGAGAGACCTATCTCGGTATCGAAAACTGAAACTGAAGACCCTCTCCGTCACAATGGGTGCAAGAGTAAGCAGAATCCGTTCTCTGCAGAGCTAGCAGCGGTGGCACATGCGTTAAACATAGTAGGAGGGCTGAAAGACTACAGGATTACTATGCTCACGAGCAACAAAGCAGCTGTTCTGATACTTAGGAATCCCTGACAACATTCAGGCCTAGAATTCGTCTGCTAATTGTACAAGTCAATGAGAAAGCTACGCAGAAATGGAACCTAGATTAATATCCGGTGGATCCTAGCGAGCGAAGACAATAAACTACAGAGTCTGGCGAAAGAACAGGCCATAGCCCCAACACAAGAAGATGCTCGCCCGTAAGTATGCGTCTCGAGAATAAAGTCAATAACGCTGAACATCGCACGGTCCCAAGCAGTCCCCAGCAATGACCTTCCTGGGAACATAGGGAGACACGTAAAACAAGTTGATGCAGTACTCCCGGGCAAACACACCAGGCAACTGTATGATCGACTAGCATGGAAAGAAGCGAGCGTGCTGGCTCAACTCCGAACCGGCATAGCACGACTCAGTGGATGTCTCTATCAAATCAAAGTAGCACACACAGACCAGTATGTGTGTGGACAAGCGAAAGAGACCATGGAACATTTCTTATTTCGATGTTGAAAATGGATGGCGCACTGGACGGAACTACCACAATGCACCAACACCGAAGTGGATGCCGAACTTGGAGGTAGCACGAGCTTCAATACGATTCACCATCGCCACGGGCTGACTCGTGGCCACCTAATCCTGCCGACGAATGTAAATCACTCTTTCTTCCGATCTAACCCACCAACCACCTCGTGCTAGAATGGTAGATGCGCTTCAACTGCCGGAAATAGGATGTTGAACACTTGGAGAAGCTCCTTCAAGCCAGCCTACTAACAAAATTACTAACCCACGAGGATCCGCTGCAATACGGACATATGAGATGACATATTTTGCAAAGCTTTATGTACTGGCTCTAAGGAGACACAGTACTATATATTTTATGACATGTATAGTAGATCCGAGGTAGTTTCCCTTTCGGCTCAGCCGCCGGGCGTTAATGAATTGTTTGTTTGTTTGTTTAATAGAACTATTGAGAGAATGGAGGAAAACCACCAACAGTTTGCCAAATCATTAATTTCAATGGTTCTACTCTGTATCGCCTTGGTCCTATGACTTCATGAATGCTGCTCCACTGTATCTGTATCCATAAGTTCCAGCTTGGCCGGATATTAGTTTTAGGGCTGGATAGTAGGAGTTCTTGACAGATTAGCCGATTTTTAATCAGCGACATGGCAGAAAACATACTAAGCGCGAGCCAAGGAAAGCCCAAAACCCCGAAGCATCCGCTGATAGGATAAATACTTGGCCGGTTTCGCGAAGGCGTATGCCCACACAGACATCAGCATCGCACATCTTGCTATATTCGGCCGCTTTATTCATAGGTCTTGATTTTCGACGGCCTGATTTTTAGGGTTTGGACTTCTCTTCGGATCTATTGGGCAGGGAGAGAGGTGTGGAAGCCATATGAAGAGACGATTTGCTGTTGGAATACATTAAAGGAAGCCAGGACACTAGATAGTCACGAGTATAAACCAAGTAGCTCTCAGGGCTTCTTGGGGTCATAGAGAGAGAGGTATTTGTTTAAAACAAGGGCCCTCTATATGTTCATGGGTTTCCGAATTCAAAAGGAGTGCTGCGCTCCAAAAATCGTAGTCTTGAGAGTTTGTGGTCAATGAGTACCTGAAACGGTCCCCTGGCAGATGATGAGTTCACAGCAGGCAACGGATTCTGCGCTGAATACCAAGGCCAAAGGTGGCCGATGAATCCGCGCTCCAGAAAATGCGGCCTTGGAAGTCCATGACCAGCAAAAATCCGAAATGGTCATTTTAGCAGGTGATGAACGCAAAATGTGCCAAGCGAGTTTATTGCCACGCCTATTTTGACAACTGGTGCACTGAAGAGAGGGAACTTGGTTCCTCCAAAACATTGAAGTGTGTCCGATGGACGGGACCTTCAGATATTGAGTCCCAACAATAAACAATATATGTCTGCTTTGGGAAATTCGGTCCTTTGTACAGCGTAGCTAGCGTGAGGCTTTTGCTATCTTCATTTTCTCCCGCAAACCAACTTAATATAGCAAGATTAACTACGGAAGGGGGATTGGATTACATAAGAAGCCTTGAGAGTATGGCATAAAAGTAGACGTCTCACGCTACTTGAATAGTAGTAGAGTGAAAAAAATTCTCTGTGGTAGACTTGGAGGGAGGGGGGGGAGGGAGCTTGGGTATTAGGGTGATTTGAAGTGGAGACTGTTGTCCGGCCAATTATATTCAAAATTCCCCCTACTTCTTGCCCTGTGTTCAAAAAGAAACCGAATCGGTCCATTTATTATTTTCTACCATCAGATTTCTGAGACTTGATTCATTGCAACAGCCTCAAATTTGCTTGCCCATTGACCCTTATATTTTCTCTGTCCATCGACTAGTCGATGACGTTTCGTTCGTTCT